CAAAGCGTGTTCTGTTTCTGTATTTGGGCTTTCATAAGACATGACACAAAGAGAGAAGTGCTTGCAATTAAATTTTAATCATGTTCCAGAGAATTTTACAAATATATATAGCTAGCATTTGACAAAGGACAATTTCCAGAATCTCTCCCAGTTCAGTGCTGGATTCGGCAAAAAAACTTCTCACAGAAGGAGCAGCTCCAACCATAATAGAGGAAGCTGTGGATTGTGAGCCACAACCTGTAAGTATTTTAATTTGTTAAAATCGATCTATCTATTGCTTTGCATCATATAAAAACAATCAAGCCTACACTCTGGACCACCCCTTTAAAGCTCTTTAACATGATGACGCTGAATCACTGATATTTGCTGGCTTCCACTTTACTCACAATTCTAAAGTTCAATTTCAAATAGTTGATTTTATTTTCTAGATCAGAGGTGAACTATCTGCCGCTGCTTCCAGTGGTATGGCAATAAATGTTATGTAAAATGGCATTCAAACCCATACTATTAGCATTTAACACTAAATAAAAGCACATGAGTTGTACCTGAGGTGATCACTGTCATAGTTTTCTATTTCTATTTCTATTTCTATTCAGGAGTGTAATACCTAGTTCAACCACTGGCAGTCAAACTTACATAATGCACCTTTAATCATAACATCTGTTTATCTGCACATTTAAGGAATGAGTACTGTGTAATGATGGACTGACTACTCTATTGACCACATGTTTACACAAAATAGCATTTGGCTTAGTGTAAACACAGTGCAACAAACAATGGCAACAAAAACAGAAAGTAAGACAAAAGGACACGATAAATGAAACACCTACCATGCACTCACAAATGTAACATGCATGCTCTGATCCTATGGTGCCAACCAAAAAAGAAACCAACTTGTCTGCATCGCTAAGAATAAAACAGCATGCCGTAAACCAACCAAGATGAGTAAGCCTGACAAACAGAGCTTCTTTGGCAACACGTGCACACTTGAATCAAAGACAAGAAGGCATTGCTCATGCGAGACTGCACGTTCAGAAAAAGACAAGACACATAAATAACAAAACTCTCCCACAAAAACAAGAATTAACAAGACCGATGTGGTGGAGTCCTGATATTAGCCAACCCCTATAACCCCCAATCCCCACCCTCTGGGGAAAGGCAGGGTGACCGGAGAGGGAATACAGGCAGCAAACCAGGGCAAGACTGGAGGTAAGATCCTGGGAGGATCGGTGAGGGGAGCCGGCAGGCCTGGAGGCCTATGGGAAGCCAGCTGAACAAGGAGCTGGGCTGGAGCCAGTAGGACAAGGAGTCTAGGTGGTGCAGGCAGATCAAGGAGCCGAGCTGTGGCCGACAAGGCAAGGAGCCTGGGCAGCGTGGGCACTGAGTTGTGCTCTGGGGCTGGAGCCGACACTGTGGTGGAAGCCTTCTTCTTCCTTTGCTTCCTCAAGAGGGGCAACACAGGGCTTAAACGATAAATGAAACACACTCACAAAAGCAACATGCATGTTCCAATCTTTGCACCAACTAATTTAAATCATGTACTTACTTTATCAAGTTGTGTTTGAAAGTGTTATCAGGTATGGTCTATCTACATGGTATGGCAATCTTTCTGTAAATCTGAAATCAAAAATTTTCAATATTATCAGAACTGCTACAAGACTAATAGGATCTGAGACTTTTATCAGTATACAAACACTCTACGAGCAATGCACTCTGAATGAAGCTAAAAGAATTTTAAGTAACCCATCGCATGTACTCTTCCCATCTTACAAACTTTTACCTTCTGGAAGAAGATACAGAACTTTCCGCTGGAAACGGAACAGATTTAAGAACTCTTTTATTCCAGTGTCAATCAGACTATTGAACACTGAACAATAGTGTGTGTAATTCTTTTGCATGTTGATTTATTCTTTTAAATTGTTATTGTGTCAGAACCTGCTGAAGTGCTGGGTGAGTCTACAGAAAATTTCCCCTTGAGGGACAATAAAGTATAAAAACAAAAAAACAAACAAACAAACAAACAGACAGACAGACAGACAGACAGACAGACAGACAGAGACAGACAGACAGACAGACAGACAGACAGACAGACAGACAGACAAACAAACAAACAAACTATTTTCAGAGTTTTATGCAACTAGGCACTGCATTGGAAACTAAGATGGTTCAGGTGTTTAGAAAGGAGCCTCTGAAGTGATTGGGCCAAAATCTCAGAGCAGATTTTTTGGGCATGAAATATGCTCCCCATAATTGCAAAACATTTTGCTTTTCTCTCCAAACTTCCCACAAAAGTCCATTTTCCAGTAGTTCAAACAGAAAAGTGTGGCTGAACACAGGTTTGATTCCCTAGGAAAGCATGAACTGATGTGTATATAAATGCAAAGTAAGTGTTTCATAAATCACATTAAGATTATTCTATAAAATCGTCTCCTACTGGCTAAATACGTTATTCCTTAGCTTGGCCAGAAAAGAACTGGTCTCCTGACTGTGTCAATGGTTTTTTCTTTATTTCTGTTACCCGAAGGAGATGCATTTATTGCTTTGGTTTACAGTAGAGTTGCTTTACAATTGAAATACAGTATATCCTTTCATATTGACACTTCATACTGAAAAAACTTTTTAAATACTGACTCATTCTAACATTTTCAAAGCTTTTTATGTGCATAATCTGCCATTTTTCATTTCACTTTTGGTTGAAACTGCATATTACCACTGCTTCTCCCGATTATTTAAGTTTTACAACAGCAACTAAACCATATGCTATTCTAATGACATTATAAGTACTGATAGGCCTAAAATTACATGTAGCATTTTTTAAGCTTATGAAAATATTTTTAAGTATACTTTAAATAAATACTTAAATGATAAGTACACTGTATTGTCTTATTACCTGCTTTTTGTTTATACTTGAAACATAGTTCAACAGTAGGCCTCTTACAAATTATGCAGTGTGGAAGAACATGAATGGAATTGCAGAACCCATGAATAGCTGTATAACAAGGAAAGTAGGATGTATTTGAAGTTTTTCTTTAAAGGAATTTCTGTAATTTTGGATAAATAAATCTAACGTCATTTTACACCTCAAGTCTTACTAGACCACTGTCTGTAAACATTAAACAGAAAAAAAGACTATATTTTGGGGGGGAAATGGTATAGTTTAAATTGCATGCATGTTTTTGTTTATTAGAAATTAATTAAAAACTCAAAGTTGCTTATACATGCAGCACTCCACATAATTATCACCAGTGTTTGTTCAAATTGGGAAAGTTTCCACTTTTCAATAAAGAATTGTTAGTAAACCAAACTTTTATCTTTAACATTATGGGATATAATATTTCTGTATTTAATTCAAGTTCAGTCCCTGCCCCCTCAATATTCCACTCTAAAGCTGACTTGTTAATTTTAAAACATGAATATATTCATAACACAGAGTGTAAAACTGTGTGAGAAAAGTATAAAATAGACAACTCAATTAAGAGAATAAACACAACTACAAGCCAAAAATACTAACATGCAATTTTAGATTAAAAGAAAAGCTGGTTTAGATAAACCACTGGCCATTAGTGTAACAATGACATCAACATTTACAAATTAAATGCAGGCGAGGTAGTGGCGCAGTAGGTAGTGCTATCGCCTCACAGCAAGAGGGTCGCTGGTTCGAACCTCGGCTCAGTTGGCGTTTCTGTGTGGAGTTTGCATGTTCTCCCTGCCTTAGTGTGGGTTTCCTCTGGGTGCTCTGGTTTCCCCCACAGTCCAAAGACATGCGGCACAGGTGAATTGGGTAGGCTAAATTGTCCGTAGTGTATGAATGTGTGTGTGAATGTGTGTGGATGTTTCCCAGAGATGGGTTGTGGCTGGAAGGGCATCCGCTGCGTAAAAACTTGCTGGATAAGTTGGCGGTTCATTCCGCTGTGGTGACCCCGGATTAATAAAGGGACTAAGCCTACAAGAAAATTAATGAATGAATAAAATCCATATTTATATTTATAAACTTACAATGTTTCTTGTTTAAAATACTCTGGTTCAAATTACCATTGTGAGAGAATCGGTCCTTGTTATCTTTTGTTGTCATTAAAAAAAAAAGAAGAAAAAAAAGCACAGGTCTTAACTGATTCAAATTTCATTCAAATACTTTCCTTACCCATTTAGTTGATTTTTACTAAAGTTGTACCTTCATAGTTATAGTAAAAAATTTGCTTTGTTAAAGGAATGAATGTTTTAAGTAACTCTTGGGTAAAGATTCTTCTGGCACCTCCATCTTGATTTTAGTATCATATTTTAGTCATTTAAAAGTAATTTTGTTTTATACTTTTTGTCTCATTTAATAGTGTGATATTTTTACATTTGTAATGAATATGTTATTTTATGAATAAAAAGTACTTTATCAATCTAGTGTTTTTTTTTTACATTGAAATAACTTTTCAATTTTTTTTTAAAGTCTTGGTGGCTTTATAGGTTATAGTGCTAATTTTACTAACTTATCAATTTGAAAGATGGATTGTATTGACTCCTGAATTGTCATTAAATAATGTATTAATTTAATTATTTGATTACATTGCACATTAAATGTCATAGCATAGGCAATAGCTACTCTATCGCAATGTTGTGGTTTTATTATTATTATTATTATTATTATTATTATTATTATTATTATGTTTTTAATAGTCTTAATCTTGTTGAGGTTATTATAATGTACAGTAGGTGGCAGTAAAGTTCTATCGGCATGAGAAGCCATAACACCGAGAAGAATTAACTTCCTTGAGTTACATCTAAAAGCACCCTGACTGTTGATGAAAAAGGAATTTGGAAGATTCGTTGCAGTGCATACAGTAACATTGCATGAATGAAGAAGCTATGATAAAGCTATAACAACAAGTCACGTTATTTGTGGAAACTTATTTTTTTTATTAAATAAACGAATGTCTCTGGCGCCGTTTAACTTTCTATTAAATAACACGGAAGTTGATGTCCAGCGACTACAGTTTCTTCCGTGAGTTACAGTCTTCGTATGCATGTTATGTTTTCTGCTTTGTAAATATTACATTTATTTGCCAAAACAATGTTTACATTCACATTATTTACATATGCACATATTACTACTATTGTACTTTGACCATTTATCATTAATCTAAAGAGTGTAAGTAAGTTCTATTCATGTTCTTAGGTTGGAAAGGCGTACCCTCTGTTACAAACTAACCAACTAAACAAACAAATAAATGAACGAATGAATGAATGTGCCTGCAAAAAGTGCCTTAAAATTATCAATTGAATTTAATCTCATTAAAATCAAAACAGTTTGAATCAAAACTCCCTTATATAACCTTTGCTGTTGTGTGATTTGTTTTTCTTTTCCCCTTAAAGGTGTCTTCTGCAATTATGGAAAGTGTCTCAAAAAGTGATGCCAAACCACAGGCATTTGTTGCTGCGCAAGTTCCGTTCATTCACCTCTGCACAGTTTTGGAGAAAATTCAGAAGACTAAACTCCGACCAGACAAAAGCAAAATCCTAAAGGAATTTATAGATTCATGGAGGAATTTCCATGCAGCACTTCACAAGGACAACCCGGACACAGCAGATTCATTTTACGCTGTTATGCGTCTCATTGTGCCTTCATTTGAGAGGGAGCGAATGGCTTATGGTATAAAAGAGAACATGCTTGCCAAACTGTATATTGAGGTTTTAGGTCTACCTAAAAATGGAGATGAGGCAAACAAACTTTTAAATTACAGAGCTCCAACCACTTCTCAAGGAGAAGCAGGTGACTTTGCCCTTATGGCCTACTTTGTCCTGAAAAAAAGGTGCACAAGTCAGGGAAATTTAAGCATTAAAGAAGTCAATGACTTCTTGGATTCTGTAGCTATCAACAATGCCAGCAAACAGAAGGATCAAGTGAAGAAAAGCCTTTTGCATCTAATAACTCAGAGTTCAGCTTTGGAACAGAAGTGGCTCATTAGAATGATCCTCAAGGACATGAAACTTGGCATTAGCAAGGAGACCGTTCTTCAGGTTTTCCATCCAGATGCACCAGAATTCTACAATGTCACCACAGATCTGAATAAAGTATGCAGACAACTTCATGACCCATCTGTGTCTCTCAGTGAAGTCTCCATTGATCTATTCTCTGCTTTTAAACCAATGCTGGCTGCTGTTGCCAATATCAGACAGATAGAGAAGCAAATGGGCAACCGGCCTTTCTACATTGAGACGAAGCTAGATGGTGAACGCATTCAACTGCACAAAGCTGGAGATGTTTACAAATATTACACAAGGAATTCTTATGAGTATACCCAACAGTTTGGGGCCTCTCCACTAGAGGGCTCCCTCACACCATACATTCACAATGTCTTTAGCCCTCATGTGGTGAACTGCATTCTAGATGGAGAGATGATGGCTTATAACCCTAAAACTGAGACCTTCATGCAGAAGGGCAGTAAGTTTGATATTAAAAGGCTGGTGGATGACTCTGATTTGCAAACCTGCTTTTGCGTATTTGATGTCTTGTTGATAAACAATCAGAAGTTTGGAAAGGAACCTCTCAAGAAGCGTTACGAAAGTCTTGAGACTGTCTTCTCCCCCATCAAAGGCCGTATCCACCTGGTCTCTAAATCCGAAGGCAGAACCATGCAAGAAGTGGTGAATTCTCTTAACGAGGCCATTGACAATCGTGAAGAGGGGATTATGGTTAAGGATCCAATGTCCATTTACAAACCAGATAAACGTGGGGAAGGATGGCTAAAGATTAAACCTGAATATGTGGATGGGCTAATGGATGAACTTGATCTGCTGATAGTGGGTGGTTACTGGGGTAAAGGCAGGAGAAGTGGGATGCTTTCTCATTTTCTCTGCGCGGTAGCTGAGGTGCCAAGTCCTGGGGAAAAGCCCACGGTGTTCCACACGCTGTGTCGCATTGGATCTGGCTATACCTTAAAAGAACTATATGATCTTGGTGTGAAGTTGGCCAAACATTGGAAAGTATACAACAAAAATAATCCTCCCGCAGCCATTTTGTGTGGGACAGAAAAGCCAGAGGTTTACATAGAACCACGCAACTCTGTGATCTTACAAGTCAAAGCAGCAGAGATCGTCACAAGCGAAATGTATAAGACCGACTGCACATTGCGTTTCCCTAGAATAGAAAGAATCCGAGAAGACAAAGAGTGGCATCAGTGCATGACCTTGGATGACCTGAACCAGTTTCGGTCTAAAGCTTCCGGAAAGCTGGCATCAAGACATCTAAACATCCATGAAGACCAGCCTGAAAAGAAGAAGCGCAAAATCGTCGCCAAGCCCAAGAAGACCATAGGAGTCATTGACCACTTTAAATCCCAGGATTTGTCAAAGGTTGCCAAAGAGACAGATATGTTTGAAGAGGTTGAGTTTTGTGTGATAAATGGCGATGATGAACATTCCAAAGCAGAGCTTGAAAAAGGGGTGGCGCGCTGTGGAGGCATCGTTGTGCAGAATCCTGGAAAGGACACGTACTGCGCCATTGCAGCTGTGCAGAACATGAGAGTGAAGAACCTCATCTCATCAGATCAGCATGATGTGGTGTGGGCTACTTGGCTTTTAGAGTGTCTGGAAAATAAGCAGGTTATCCCATGGCAACCACGTCACATGATCCACATGTCACCTTCCACAAGGGAACACTTCGCTAAAGAGTATGATCAGTATGGAGACAGTTATTACGTTGACACTAGTGAACAGCAGCTGAGGGATGTCATTGAAAGGATCAGCTCCGCAGAAGTCAAGAGTCTGTCTGTGGCTCAGATAGAAGCAGAGAATGCTTGGGATGACTTGCCTACTAGCATTTTTAGGCCTTACAGTGCATACTTTGACCGGTGTGCTGACATAGGAGATCCCAAGTCTGTTATATGCGGTACGTGTTTAGACACTCGTGCCTTAGAATTCAGATTTCATGGCGGTAAAGTTGTGGAGAAACTCAAAGAAGGAATCTCACATGTGGTAGTAGAAGATATGAAAAGGGCTCTGGACCTAAAGACACTGAGGCGACTTCATGCCAAGAAGTTTAAAATTGTTCATGAATCATGGGTTACTGATTCCATCAAAGCAGGCCATGTAAAGGATGAGATTGACTACCTGATTTAAAAATAAAAGCTACTAGAAAATCAAAACACTGAAACATTTACACTTTTATACCTAGGTGTCACATACTGTTCTTTTTGCTACATCTAGCGTAACAATTTAAATTCAATGATGGGACTTGATTATTTTAATTATGTGTGGAAGTTTTATGGCAAGACTGTAATTTTATATATATATAAAAAAAATGCATAAAAATGGTCACATCACTGATTTAAAGCACTGAGAAAATGTATATTTGTGAAAACAGGAGAATATAAATTTGTTTGATTCTAAATAAAACAAAACCTGAAATGAATAACTGAAAAAAATCATTAAATGTGTATTTTTACAATCTAATGGTTGACTCTTGACCTTCCAATGCTGCCCTGTTAATTACGTTCACTACTATTAGAAGGTAGAAATGACATAAAAAACATACTACAGAAGCAATCAGCATTTTAACTGAAGCTGTCAAAGTGTTTCCTTATATATCATCTTCAGATTGCAAATTAATAATAATAATAATCATATAAAAATATTCCCTTTCTATATCTCTTCTGAATATATTTGTGAATTGTAAGTGATGGTATGCTACTGAATCATTAATTGAATTTAATGAACACATGTTTGATGAACTGAATGGAAAATTAACTTGTTTCAGTAGCATGTGAACACTGAAACATTTGCAGTTTAACATGCACTGAGGACTTTTCTTATACTTTTTATAATACAATGAAAGTGCTGCTACAGTTTGGACCCTAATGTCTTACCTTAACTATTGCTTAAATTATTGCTTTTTGGCACCATAACTTGTTAATATTTGTTAGGATAACTTATTCACCTTCAAAATCCTTCACTCTTCAAATGCAAGTTTGGTAAGTCATATCATATAAATATATAATTGTTTAATGTACACTACCAGTCAAAAGTTTGGGGTCAGTTTTTTTGTTTGTTTGTTTGTTTTTTTTTTAAAAAGAAAAATATACTGTTCATCACGGCGACATTTATTAAGTGTAAATTTTGTTTTTATTTTTGTACTTATTTATTACTTATTATATGTAGTTTCAAATGAAATTATTACTCCAGTCATAATTTCTTTTATTACTATTCCATTAATATTAGTAATAATAATAATTAATATTAGAGTGATTTCTAAAGCATCATGTGACTCTGAAGACTGGAGTAATGAAGCTTAAAATTCATCTTTAAAATCACTGGAATACATTATTAAATTCAGTTACAAACTACTTTTGAACAATTATTTTATAGTGCATTAACATTTCCCTATTTTACAATTTGTACTGTATTTTTGAATAAAAAAATGCAGCCTTGGTAAGCAGGCGAAGCTTTTTTTTTACATTTAAAATCCTACTGACCCCAAACTTTTGACCGGTAGTGCAGTTTAAGTATTTGTTTCTGTCCTAATGGTATGTTTGTTATTTCCTGGGCAAATTCTGCAAACTTAGCTATTGAGCTGCCATATTTCATTTGATGTTTGTATTGTAATGGTGTGATATCTGACATATTAAAGGTCAATTAGCTTAATTTTTAAATGATCTAATTAACTGTAAACTAATCGACTAATCGTAGACTGGTTGTATAATGCTATTTGTGTGAAAAAGAACATGGTAGGTAGAGTTAGAGTTAACCTTTTTTCATATAAACTATGATTTTATTTATAATATGGTATCTTTATGGAACAATACTTGTGTGATAATTTTGTGGAATTATTAATAAAAAAAAAACATTTTACTCAAAATGCCCTGTTTTTTAAAGTATGAATCAGGTTATTTGCATGTTATATTAACTTTGCCGCTATATTAGCTAAAAGTCCTAGGACGGATCTATCTACAGTCCGTTACTGTCATTTTTTAGAGCAAGATTTGCAAGGTTTAAATGAATTTTGAATAACACTGTAAGATAATCATCTTTTGATTGAGTTTAATGTTTATATATTTTTGCATTTACATTTAATGTTTACATTTTTCTGCTACAGACAATGTGAAAAAAATTCTTAATTGCTGATAAATCAATTTAGAGAAATTTAAGACCATTAAAAAGTATCATAAAATCCTAAATGCTATTTTACAGCGTGTTAAAATTGTGTCTCGCTTTTGATTATACAATGTGTAGTTTTATGCTAAAGTTTGCCTCAATTTTTCTTGCAAATATTATGGTGCTGTGTAGTTTATGAAATCGATAAAATCCAGCTAGATTTGACATTATGCTGCTTTGTTTACTGCAGTAACCAAGGCAAAAAAAAAAAAAACTGTGTATTGCTGCTGTTCTATTGGCTCTCCTGCTGGATTAGCAGTTTTATTTAGTAAATCAGTAATATTTTTGGTTGGCATTAGTTTTTTACGTTCAATATTTAGTAAATATACTGCCACATAAAATGTCAACTTAAACCTAAACTGGTGATAAGAGTCTTAAAATATATTAAGTGTCTTTAAAAAGGTTTTAAAAGTTATTGAATTTCACTCTTTAATGCCGATATATTCAATTATTAATTCTTTAGCGCTTTTACAATGTAGATTGTGTCAAAGCAGCTTAACATAGAAGTTATAGTAAATTGAGACTGTGTCAATCCAGTTTTCAGAGATCAATTTAGTTTAGTTCAGTTCAGTGTGGTTTAATTTTCACTGCTGAAATTTCAAACACTAAAGAGAAACTCCATCGATGAGCAGTTTTACAAGTCTCGAACCATGCGAGCCAGTGATGACTGCGGCAAGGAACAAACTTCACCAACTGATAAAAGTGAAGGAAAAAAACCTAGAGTGAAACCAGGCTCGACAGTTGAGCACGACCATTTCTCCTCTAGCCAAACTTCTTGTGCAGAGCCCTGTATAACAAGGAAAAGGAAATGGATGTATTTTAACATACTCTTAGTAGCTCTTCAAAAAATGGGCACTTCCAAACATTATTTTTTAAAACACAGTGGTCTATGCAGTTTGTGTATGCTCATCAGTAATTGAAAAGCACAAATGGCCATTAAAGTGAATGGCATTTCATGTTTTCTTCAAAAGTCCCTCCGGCCAAAATATCTTAACTCTCATGCTCTTTGGACCTGTCCTACTAAGTGATGATGACTGCTTTCTTCAAGTCATGTTAGGAAGTGCATTTGTTCTTAAATTGTTTACATTTAAAGGTCTGCCTGTGCTTGCGGTGGTCAATAAACTTTCAGAAATTAAGGAATGCAAACTGAGGTGGTACCTTTTCAAAAGGTACACATTTGTACTTAAAGGGTCCATATTGGTACCTCAAAAGTATATATTATTGTACCTACAAATTTTAAGAGGAACGCTTTTGCACTTTTCAGGTACTAATATGTACCCTTGAGGTATTAATATTTACCTTTTAGCAGTGCGGGAAAGAGTACTGAAAAATCATACTCAAGTAAAAGTACTATTACTTGCCTAAAAATGTAGTGCAAGTAGAGTAAAAGTATCTGTTGTAAATTGTAAATAATACTTAAAGTATGAGTATAAAGTAGACCGTTCAAAAGTACTCAAGAGTAATGAGTATTAAACTGTAAAAAGCTGATGCTTTTACATATAAATTGTGCATGTGTGTGTAAACGTAACATTCTGTAGTGCGTCTAGTTATTGCTCAGCAGGCACACAACATCATAGGATGTTAATATTAGGTTAAATTTAAGTTGTGATGTCAGGTGAGCAAAATTCAAGGTCTAGCCAGCGTCTAAGGACAATGTCCAATAATGCCCAATAATGACATCAAATGACATTAATATTTGCTTGTTATTAGGTTGTTAGAAAGTGACCAAAATCCAACATTGAGCCAACATCTTAAACCAACATCATATTGATGTCAAATGCTGACATTTATTTGTCAGGTATGGCAACCCAAATCCAACTTCTGATAGACGTCATTGTGGTAACGTCCCTACAACGTCAAGCTGTAACATCATAAGACATTGATATTTGATTGGTTTTAGGTTGGACAGTGGACATTGACATTAGCCTCATGTTGAGTTCTGATGTCAACCTGATTTTTATTTTCATTGAGTACTCAATTACAGTAGTTTTAGTATTTGTAATTAGTTACTTTACACTATTGCCTTGTAAGTATAAATTTTTACCAATTCAAAAGGGACCACCCCAGTGTTAGCTCGCATACCTCTATTTCTGAGAGTGTAGAGCACCCAGCAAGCATTAATTCAGCCCTAAAAATTTAAATTTGCAAAAACAATCTTTGCACCCACAGGACATTAATTATGTAGATGAGTTAGTTTCTTCATTCGAACAGTAAAGAGTCTAAACAGATGAACAAAAACATTGCAATAGAACTAATTCACATGACTCTGGTGAATCAGGTAATGTCTCTTAAAGAAAAAATGAAATAAATAAATAAATAAATAAATAAATAAATAAATAAATAAATGCTGCTATTAGAATGCTAAAACAATAACGGTTTGTCTTTTAGTGTAAAAAAGGATTACACCATGCCTGCATCTTTTGTTGAAATAGGGATAGTGATTCTTTTTTTTAAGCTTAAGTTAGCAGTCTAATAAACATGCATTGATGATCATTTGATGCCTGATTACGCACTCTTTTTTTCACTATGTATCGGATCATCGCAAGACTATCCTTGATGAGCTGGCAGCAGTGAGGATTCTTCTCAAAGACCCCCTGCTTCTTTTGCATGAGTTCTTCACTTGGGATAAAATAAAGACAATGTGCAGAACCTTCCACCAGCAACATGTTGTCTAATTTATGCACCACAGATTCACTTACCCCGAATTTTATCCAGCATGGACTCATGTCAATTGCAAAGAGCACCTGGAGGAAACCCACATGAACACATCCAAATGAGGCAACAGTTCTAACCGCTAAATATCTTCTACAGGGTTTGACCAAGAAAAGCATAGAAAGTGGAAGGCAATAAGTATCTCTCTGAAGATATGTCCCTGAGTGCCTGCTAGGTAATCTGCACACTGTAGGAAGCTTCCTGTATAAAAAAGGTCAGGAAATAATGATGGGTTTATATCACTTGGCAGTTTTGATAGTTACAATAGAAGTTGGTCGCTGAAATTGTTTTAGGTGCAGCATTTGCAAGATTGTTATACTGAAATCATGAATGATGGGCTGACTAGTCATTCTGTGACCAGTGAAGTCTTAGTCAGTTAACCTAATCAGATGCCTATACATAGTTAAAACAAGAGGATTTAATACCCTTGGATTAGATTTGTATTTGACAGAAATGCATTTCCCCTGTTGAGTGCCAGAACAGGGTTTAGATCCACCGTTACACAATGGAATATTTAATAACTTAACCAATTCAAAGAGGTTTCAAGGAAGAAGTCTATTTCAATGAACTCTGACAGTGTTGGACTGTGTCAGGTTAACAGCTTTTTAACGGATGTTGCTTTTCATATGTGAACTCACAAACACATGTTTTGGTCATTTGCCAATTGGTAGTTTTCAGAAAAAAAATAATGACTGGTTATTACTGAGATGTGAACTGTTATTAATGAAAGAAATAGTATGCTGCTGGTGATAAATTATTGCTTTTGGTCTAATAGTGATGACTTGATGAATGAAGAAACGGGTGATGAAAATATGATATAGTAAGAAAGGACTGGTGAATTTTCAGCCATCATAACATTATGTTGCTATGCATGAGTCATACAGTATAATTTAAGAGCCTGGTGAATTACAGCCTTGCTTAGTGTGTTTGCTCAGATTGAAAGCTATTGTCATTTTAATGCCATGATCCCAGCACACATACACAGACCTACTGTGGAAATTATTTTTCTGCTTTATGAATGGAAATTTACAATCCTAAAAGAGTGTGATGCTGCTCGTATTCAGTTAAGACATTCAATCAGAGTCTGTTTCCTGTCTCAGGTGAAGGGAAAATCAGTCCACATACTGAGAGATTATGTGTTGTCTTTGACCTGCTTCTGAATGTTCTCTTTGAAGTGATGAAACATTTTGAAAAGGGTTGCAGAGAAGATTTACCATGCTCCTTTGTAAGAGGCACATCTAAATGGCTTCATATAAAAATCCCATTTAGTATGTATATTCCATATTTCAAATAGTTGGAACATTACACATTCAATTTTGAATAGATGTATTACATTTTTTTTTTGTAAATTTTGTGTATATTAAGGCAAATAAATTAAATTTAATAGCAGTATAACCTAAAGACAGTTTTTGCACACTCAGTTAAAATTACTGTATTAACATTTTGTTGCTTAACCATTGTTTTGATATCAATTACATTGCATTGAATCAGGCAACTCCTAACATCCAGAATCTTGAATTTACAGCCCTGGGTGAACCAAAAAAAGTCCCATGGTTTCTGTGAATTGTTTGCTTTTGCTTCATAAAATGTCACTCCATGAGCTTTCAATTGGGTTGAGGTCAGGAGATGTACTGAGGCATGTATTCACAACCTAAGGGTTATTGGATATACCATTGTTGTACAGTAATGTAAAGAGAACAATTTTACTCTCATCAGTACACATTTGTCCTCAGGCTCTGTGGCAAACTTAGTTCTTTAGATAATTTTTTCTTTAGGTAATTTTTAGATTTTGCATATGCTTTTTAATGGTTAAAGATTTATTTATTTTTTGACGCATATGCTGTTGTTGCCTAAGCTGCTTTTGCTGCCACTTTACAGCCTTTGAGAGTATTTTACATGAACATTGAATAATTTGTTGCACTTTATTTTCACTTTTTCTTTCTCCAGTCAACTTATATACTGTACATACAATAGTCAAAATTATTAGCTTTTATGTGATTTTTTTCTTTTTCAAAATTTTTCCAAATGTTGTTTAAAAAAGCCAGGGATTTTTCACATAACTCCTATAATTTTTTTTTCTTCTGGAGAAAGTTTTAATTGTTTTATTTTGGCAAGAATAAAACACTTTTTTCATTTTGTAAAAAAACATTTTAGGTTCAATATTATTAACCCTTTAAGCAATATTTGTTTTTCGATAGTCTACAGAACAAGCCACTGTAATACAATGACTTGCCTAATTACCCTAACTTGCCTAAACTAATTAACCCAGTTGAGCTTGCTTTAAAAATAGCATTTTGGGCTGAATACTAGTATCTTGAAAAAATATATAGTAAAATAATATGTACTATAATCATGGAAAAAAATAAAAGAAATCAGCTTTCAAAACGATTGTTTAGAAATGTGATGAATTATTTTTTTCAACAAACAATTGTTTTTTAAACAGAAATTGGGGAAAAACATACATACATATTCGTGTATATGAAATACGATTTTCTTGTTTAATGCATTTTATTACATTAAACTACTATAAATTAAAGCTGATGGGGGAAAGGGAAAAAAACACCAGTTTCTCACAATCCTAATACATTTTTTTCTATTACTGAACATGTTCTCTGGGATTCTGTGAATTCAAAATATTACTCAGTTTAATTTTTCTGTAAAACAGGAAAGCAATTATAGGGGATTTGACATTACTATGTGGTTCCTTACTTAGATCAAATGTTTTTTACTTTATTATGGGAATTTATGTCTTTCAGATAACATCTTGAAAGATGGCACCTCTTCTTTCCACACTCCTGACCTCATCGTTGAAGCCTCAAGGGCCATTCGCAACAAGGACGATAACTATAATAATGATAAAGACATTCTAGTTCTAATAATCAATCTAAGTGTAAAAGAATAGAGGGGTCTACAACATAACTATAATGGATATGGCAAAGAGTAACAAAATCAACAGAAAAGCTTTCAATACTATGTTTCAAGTGCATATCTTATGCTTATTCATATGCTTATTATTGTCTAGTATATGCAGTGGTGCAAAAAAAGTGTTTTGTCCTTTAATGATTTCTCTTTTTTTTTGTATATTTGTCACACTTTAATGTTTCAGATCATCAAACAAACTAAAATAGTAGTCAATGATAACACAATTCAATACACTATTCATCATAATGGAACACAAAATACAAAACTACACAGCTGGTGTGCTTTGGATCAATTGTCCTGCTGCAGAACCCAAGTTAGCTTCAGCTCGAGATCAGATGGCCGACAATTCACCTTTAGGCTGTTTTGGTATACAGCAGAATTTGGTTTCATTTATTACAGCAAGTCTTTCAGGTCCTGAAATAGCAAAACAGCCACAGACCATTATAATGCCATCACCACATTTTACTGTTGGTATAATGGGACACACGCCTGGTCAGTCCATAGAGTATTTCCCAGAAGTCTTGAGGATCATCATGATTTCTGGTAAAACTGAGACAAGGCTGAATGTTCATTTTGTTCACAGCAGTCATAAGCGCACCTTAAATTAAGCAAGTGAGACCTGCAATACTTTGGATGTTGTTGTGGGGCCTTTTGACCTCTTGGATAAGTTGTTACTGCGCTCTTGGGATAAGTTTGGTTGGCCAGCCAATCCTGGGAAGGTTCTCGCCCGTTCCATGTCTTTGTATTTTTATATAATGGCTCTCACTCTGGTTAACTCCAGTCTCAATGCTTTAGAAATGGTTTTATAACCTTTTCCAGACTGGTAGATTTCAGTTATTTTCTGTTTCATTTATTTTTTAAATCTATTTGGATCTCAGCATGATGTCTAGCTTTTGATGATCTTTTGGTCTACTTCTTGTCAAGCAGGTCCTATTTAAGTGATTTTTTGATTGCGAACAAGTGTGGCAGTAATCAGGTTTGGATGTGGCTATAAAAATTGAACTTAAGTGTGAAAAACCAGAGTTAAGTTATGTTTTAACAGGGGGTAAACACTTTCACAAAGGGCTACAGATGTTAGATTTTGGTTTCTCACAATAATAAAAACCTTCATTTAAAAATTGCTTATGTTTACTTGTGTTATCTTTGACTAACATTTAATTTTGTTTGATGATCTGAAACATTAAAGTGTGACAATCATGCAAGAAATCAATAAGGGGCAAACACCTTTTCACACTTCTGTAGATATAAAGTTATTTTCATATGATAAACGATATGGTGTTAATTCTGCATGAGTACAACAAATGTTTCAGTTATATTTTTATTCTTCAATATGTCTATCAACATTTTGTGCAGATATAACATCACATACAAAAATTAGTAATACCATTGCTGTTTTTTATCACACCCTAATCCTCTATCCCCTATTATACCAACCATTCAACACAACAAAGTACAGATGATCTTTTAAAATAAATCATAAAAGTTAAATAAGGTAGTTATGAAATAATACAGTAAATGTACAAAAAGAAAAATTGGTTATGCCTCTTCTGCTTCAAGATCAGTAGTATCAATATAATTCTACAAAAGTTTCCATTCATTTATTGATTCATTTTCTTTTCGGCTTAGTCTCTTTATTACTCTGGGGTTGCCACAGCGGAATGAAACGCCAACTTATAAAGCGCATGTTTTACGCACCAGATGTCCTTCCAGCCACAACCCAACACTGGAAAACACCCATACACTCTTGTATTCACACACATACACTACGACCTTCTTGCTTTGAGGCGATTTTGCTAATGATTTTCAATGTCTTTTAAATTAAAGCTAAACTATTTGTTATAAAGAGTATTTAAGATAACTATTGTTTTATCTAATACAAACTATTTGCATTTGCAAATAAAAGGCTGTTGCGACAAGTGACAGTAGCCAGCATGCGCCTGTAGCTGATAAATACTGCTGGGGGGAGGGTAAGGGTAATATCAGTAATTGCTACTCTAAAGTGAATGCACGTCTTAATTGTAGCTTGGCTAATAACAGTTAATGACTAGAAATAACAAATAATAGTGGAGTCAAATAAACAAAACCACTATGTTCATAAGATATGTTTAAATGTCAAGTGTTTTCTTTCTGTGCTTTACCTTATTTTGTACTCTTTGAGATTTCTGATTAATATGCATTTCATGTGACGCTTGTGTGTTTGCCTTCTGTTTTCATCAAACCTCATGTTGCAGATTAGAGAATAGAAGAGATGTAAAGAAAATGCATTTTGCAATCACAAACACATATGTTGTTGATTAGACAGCTCTCAATTGTCAGGCTTCATGTCATTATATGGTGTGTGAGTGTATGTGTGTCAATTTGTGCAAATGTGACAGGTTCACACATACCATATTGCTGTGCAATGGAAGACAAACATAAACAAACCAAAAAAAATTAAAATGCTAATCACCAAGTAAAAAAATGTGTTCAGTTTTTTTTTTTGTTGTGCAATTAAATTGAGTTAAATATAGTATACACTTTTATGATGTATATTAATCAAATTAATCTTATTAATCAAATATATGCTTAGACAATGAACGAATGAATGAGTCAATCAACATTTTACTCTGCCGACCTTCACTGCCTATTGATGATTTATGTTTTTCTAAGTAGATTCACAGAGAGAAAGAAAGTCAAACAGGTTTGGGTGCGAGTGAAGGATGACAGAATGCTTTTTCTAGGTAAACTATACCTTAATAGCACTGTTTGACAGTCTGTAAGCCATTTTGCAGCTATTCTACCTGTTGATGTAAATACAGCAAATCTGAGTCAAAGAATCTAAAACAATGATAAAGCAGACATCTGTTCTTAGATGCCAACCATGTTATATCTTTCCATGATGCGCAGCCTATATGAACAGTTTGCTTATTCGCCGGTTTGCTATGATGAATCGACCTCACTGCATGAGCTGACGCAAATGACCCTGCACTCTTTGAAGAACTCTTTCAAAACGAACATGGCGGCAACTTAACATCTGGCAAAATGACTTTGGATCCTTTGGCGAGGAAAGATCCCACCTTGTCGGACCGAGGAGGCGAAATTCGGCGTGGTGAAACGAGGAGTCCTTGCGCTTTTCTCCAGAATCAGAGCGAGCGGCCAGACAGTGGCTTTTCCGTGTTGTAGCGGCTCTGCGCAAACGGTAAGAGCGGAACCCATGACAGACGAGCAGGGAGAGACATGTTGCTACAGATAGCTGGGTTTTTCTCCGGAGGAGGACGGAAAGAGGGGATACGACAATGAAACCAATAATCCCCCTGAACACAGCGACTGATCGGAAATTGCAGTTAATCGCGGAGGTGAGCAACGAACGCTCGTTAGCCATCGTTTAGTAGGCAAAACTCAAGGCAGATCTCCCGTCAATGACTATTGTGGCAGAAAAGCCCTCACGGTGGAGTCAGCCAGCGCTGCGCTTTCCTAAAATATGACCAGCGGTGCTCGAAAGTGTCGGCAGCGAGATAACGGCTTAAAAAATTGGTGTGCTCCCCGCGAGAACGAGAAGCCATTCACCGACTCCGAGAGGGCCCAGCGATGGCGACTGTCCTTAGCGTCCCTCTTATTTCTAACCGTTCTGCTTTCTGATCATCTGTGGTTCTGCGCCGAGGCCAAAATGACAAGGACCCGAGACAAGTTAGCATCAGAGGACATGAGCGCAAACCACAGACCCGACCTCCATCCAACACACAGCAGCCTCAGAAGAAACGAAGATGCTATTTTTGTAGTCAATTCTACCAAACCTTTGTGGCAACTTGAAACTTGCCAAACGGATAGTTTGTCTGAAAACTGCTTCACTTTTGTCGACGCCGACCACTTGTGCAGGGGCCTTTCGGAAACGGAGGGGACGCGGTGGGTGAACATGAGCGATTTGTACCTTTCCTTTTGTAATTCGTACTCCCTTATGGATTTGCTTTATGGATCATTAAGTCCGGACAATTTGAACTGCAGCCTCGACGCGGTCATGGACGGCGATCAAAACAGATGCAGTCTGTGTGTTCAAGCATACCAGCGTTACGACCTGCACGCACAGGAGAAATATGAGGAATTTGAGATGATGACAGACAAATACGAGACGGATGTGTACTCAGTAAGGACCTGCATGGAAGAATGCAAGGTAGGAATTTATGATCTGGATCTCTCGCTTTTGTACAACAGAGTTGGTTCTTCGTTCTCAGTCGTCATGGTAACTGCTGACAGTAACGTGGTGATGATGATCATGATGATGATGATGTTTTAGGGGTTTAAAAGTGCATTTCGCTTCGCTTGTTGATGGCAACTTTGCTCTGATCTCATTCGTTGGAAACTTTTCTTTTGCTTGCTATCTTATTTTTATATTCAATGCTGGGGAGCGTGAACAACACGCATTGTTCTGGTGTAGTTTTACGGAGGCAAATGAATGTTTCTGCTGATTCAAGGTTACTGTGTCAATGGACAAAAGCTGCAAAGCCAATCTTTCAGCGTGCGTGCGTCATTCTATAGCACGCAGGTGCCCGTGTGGCGTCTCTCGGAACTGAATATAGAGCTGCTCCGCCAGGTGTTCATTCACGTCGTCCACCACACTGAGCAGACTACATTTCAATAACGCTAATAGGGCACTAGTGCTTTCTCAGCTAATCTGTCACAAGAGTCTTTCCCCTCGCTCATTTGTCGTGTTTGCACAGCACTCTGCGCTCGCTGCAACAGGGTGCCCTCTTAACTGCCATAAACTTGACATTAAGGTTAATTTTCGAGCTCCTGCTGTCATCTTTAATGGATTACTCATGGGCGACGAAAAAAAACGACACTGTGTATAGCTCCTGAGTGCTGATAAGGAAGCGATCTTGCCTTACTCTTTACGTTTGTGTTGCTGTGTATAATTAATGGTCAAACATTTACCGAGAGCTTGTAAGTTGTCTTTTAAATGAAAGAGACATAGATAAGCTGCTGATTAAGTGGGTGGCTTGATTTGTTTGTTCACTGGTTCAGCTGGCAAAGGACTCCTCACAAAGGCTTTCTCACAGCACCACCACCGACGCGCCCGCATAGAGTCCGTCTTTGCTGCTTGGCTCTTCGCTGTCCGTGGTGCTGAAACATGCTAAGGTTAAGTTGAAGGGTACATGTTTTTTGATGCAGGCAGGGGCATGCAGTTTTCTCTAGATCATTACACCAATGATAATCATGAAAATGGATGTTTGCTTCTACGATTGTACCTGTCAAAAGCGTTTGAGTCATCTCAGTGAGATTGTCTTTCAACTTGTTGATAAGTTATCACATATTTGTAGGCTACAATTGACTTATGCTACCACATGATCAGCTACTTCTCATAAGGAAATAATCTATAAAAAGAAGTATGAAGTATGTTCTATAATACATTTATAAAACATTTAAATGCAACGTTGCTTGAGAATAAAAAATTTGGCCACTAAACACGAAAACACCATTTCTTTCTTTCTTTCTTTCTTTCTTTCTTTCTTTCTTTCTTTCTTTCTTTCTTTCTTTCTTTCTTTCTTTCTTTCTTTCTTTCTTTCTTTCTTTCTTTCTTTCTTTCTTTCTTTCTTTCTTTCTGCAGGAATGCGCTGTGCATGTTCTGCTGCACATACTGTGTCATTACAGAGCATTTAGCAATTTTTTTTTGACTGTCCTGTTTCTCACCCTTAGAAAACAGACTTTTTCCTGCATTAACATAACTGTCAAATCATGGTATTGCGGCTTGATAAACTACTAGTAAGTGTGAATGAAGACCATAATGTAGAGAGAAGGAGCAAGAGTCAGTCAGAGCCTCTAGCAAGCAGCTGCAAGGGAAAGCCAGTCCCAGCTGTGATTAAGCAGCGAGAAATAGAGACAGAAAGAAAGACAGAGAGATAGAGAATGAGGGGAAGGGTAATCACTGTGACATGTTGTCTCTGACAGCTAGATCAGCCTTCAGGCTGATTTAATTCGGCATCTTCCAATCACTGCATTGGAGTGTGGGAAACACTGTTGCTTTTGTCTGTGTTTGAATTTGTAGCCTATTGTGTAAATGCGCTAAAGGTTTTGTTTCTTTGAAAATACTACACATATAGGTAGCAACCAATTGAACAAAGGCAGGTGGTTGTAATTAGAGAAATAAACTCAATAGTATGCTATTCTAGGAGTCTTCTATTCAAAAATACCACACACACACACACACACACACACACACGTGTGTGTGTGTGTGTGTTTCTCTAATTTCTGTTTAATGGAGGGAAAATTGTTTCAACTCATTTCTAAGCATACTAGTTTTAAAAATCTATTTCTAATAACTGATTTATTTTATCTTTGCCATGATGACAGTAAATAATATTTTACTTGATATTTTTCAAGACACTTCTAGACAGCCTAAAGTGACATTTAAAGGCTTAACTAGGTTAAAAAGGTGAACTAGGCAGGTTAGGGTAATTAGGCAAATTATTGTATAATGATGGTTTGTAGACTATCAAAACAAAAAAAAAATTAGCTTAAAGGGGCTTTTGCTTTTGTTCTAGCCGAAATAAAACAAACAAGACTTCCTCCAGAAGAAAAAATATTATCAGACATACTGTGAAATTTTCTTTGCTCTGTTAAACATAATTTGGGAAATATTTAAAATAAAAAAAACAAAACAAAAGGGGCTAATAATTCTGACTTCAACTGTATATATTTATATATATACAGTTATACTATATACAGTATATATTTAAAATAGAAAAAAACAAAACAAAAGGGGGCAACAAAATATGTGCTAATATATGAATGGAAAATTTATTTTTATTTAACTGAAAAAAAATCCTATACTGCAAAACAATTTAGGTGCTTGTAATAGATGGTATTTATTATATTTTTTCTATTTTTCTGAATTCTATGCTGTAAAGGACATGCAAACACTGCTAAATATTTAGCTATAAATTTTACTGACTGGCTTCTCCCTGGAACAATTTGACATAAGGAATCAAACTCCTTTCCTCAAATTGAACTTAAAATTCATGTAATTTTGTATTTCATTTAAAATTTTAATAGCAGTTTTACTTTCATACAGCAAGATTTTTGATCATGCCCCCATCACAAACTCTGAGCTACTGAATGCAGATATAAAGTAAGGACTGAAAGGAGAGAGTTGTTTTTATGTAATTTGATACCACACACCAATAGTATAAACGTGTTCTGTGATGATGAAGGCGTGTGTCTCGAGTCTCCTTAAGCTCACTGTGTGTGTGTGTGTGTGTGTGTGAGCGCATGCAAATGTGTCTATGGTCTTTTACTGACTCTGTAGGTGCAGAGAACAGTGTCAAACAGTCGTGTGTGTATGTCTTATCCTGTCGCAAAATGCGACTAAAAGACCTACATGACGGTGATAGTTTGATTACGCTCTTTACTTTGCACTTCAATAATGCGACTGAAATAGGAATACTTCACATGATACTTCACATGAAGTGTTATTTTATCGCATAAATATGAAGCATGGTTAATGTGTGTGTCTGCAGTTGTAACCACTGTTGGATATGGCAGTAGCTAAACTCCAGTACAAAAACGACAACCAAGTTAAACCAAGTTACACGCGCAACTCCCAAGCCCAGCCTGGGTTGCCAGGTTTGTGCAAAGCTGATTTGCAGTTCAAATCAATTCCTGCCTCAAATCTTCAGTGCTAATTTCACCCTTACGCTCCATCATAACATTACAACTCACTACTTTTCACCTTGACGAGAATAGAGATTATTTCTGCTTTACTCGTCAGTCACCATTATTGTGTCCAATAATCACTTTTCCAGACATGTATGTTTATATATATATATATATATTCTTTTTTTATTAATGTTATGTTAGAATTATGAACTTTTAGCATGTATGGTGAACACTTTTTAATTCACTTTTAAAGTATGTGCTCTACAAGTGTAAAACCTAAATAATCAAACATATTTTAATCAAAATTAATTTATTTTCTTTGCAAGGTTTTGCAATATACAACTGCTAAAACCCATGAAACAATTTCAATTTCACAGGTCCCTTGAAACAAATACACTAAAATATCAAAAGTTTTGAAGTAAACATTATTTATGAGGTCTTTTAAAGTTCAACTGGCATCAATAATTTGAAATACTCCTGCTTAGAAAGATTAAATACACAGAATGTTAAAATTAGGCAGCCTGCCCTAAAATACTGCTAAACTCCATTTCTGATCTTTACAATCAATAGCATTGAACATTCAAACTGGCCTCTATTTTTGTAAACATCCGCAAACAGTAAAAATAATAGTTGAATGTAGTGACCGTTCTGAAGTACCACTTCTTGCCACTTCCTTCAAATATTGTAATAAAAATTTGACTTCAAAAAACAAAGAGGACATTTTTTTAAGACAGGCAACCTGTCACAAAATGCTACAGTGCTCAATTGCTGATATTACAAATCATTTAAGCTAAAACCACCACAAAAATAGCAGTTTGTTTCAAAAAGAAAAAAAAAAAACTATGAATGTTTACAATTGACTAAAATGTTCTTTTACTATGTGCAACTGCCTTCAAATATTGTAAATAAACTTTATTGGAAATAGAAAAGGAACGTTTTGGACAGGCAGCATGTCGCAAATTACTACAGTGCTCAATTTTCGATATCTTAAATTGTTCAAACCATTGATAAAAAAAATATTAAAACTGACCTCTAATCTTTGTAAATAACCACAAACAATTTTACCAGTTAAAGCTGCCGAATTCCATTTAAAAATTTGGTGCTATCAACAAAGATAACATTAAAACTGGCCCCTACCTTTCAAACCAGAAACAATTAAAAAAGTCACAAAAAAGCTTCTTCCTCTATTTCTTCCTTTATTTTTGAAGGTTGTGTACAAAACACAAAAAAGTAACACTGTTTATAGTCAAGTTAATTCCATCAAAAATACAGGTTGTAAATTTTGGAACATTTTGTATTAACTATGTGACTGTGATTGTGAAAACTGATAATTGCTTAACCCGGTTCCTTAATATATCTGCTTAAACGAATCTGCAAAACGAGAGACAAATCTTCAAAAGCTACCATGTGTGAACGTAATCTGTGTAAGCACTTGGTCAAGAAGGTGAAGCAATATTGAGAAATAGAGACAGAAAGAAAGACAGAGAGATAGAGAATGAGGGGAAGGGTAATCACTGT